TAGAGTTTAGGGTTTAGGGGTTTAGGTTTTAGGGGTTTAGGGTGTAGGGATTAGGGTTTAGAGTTTGGAGTTTAGGGTTTAGGGTAAAGGGTCCTCCAAAGAACTCGTCCGAGGGTTGAACGGCAACCCTACTTCCAAGAAGACAGCCGCAAGCACACGCCGATAAGCCTCATCATCATCCTCATGATCTTGGGACATTCGCGCTGATGTGTGCGGAGATGTATGCAGAACGAAATCATCGTCGCACACCACTGGCAAGACTGCACAAGAGCTAAGGAAGCGTGCTTTGAGCACACACGCTTTGATATGTGGAGAAGCAAAACACTGCTTGGAGCAGACTAAGATCATGGATGTGGGCTGGATTTGCTCGAGTTGACTCTCCGGGTGCTCCGGAGGGAGCACCATGACAGGCTGGCCACGATCCATCATGATTGGAGCAAGATGACGTAAGAGCACATGGGCTGAAGCTAAGGCTTCCGCATTTTCATGGTCTACCACAATGCAAGAGCCAGCGCTTCGAAGTACCATGTCATTTGTGTTCTTGTTCCCTGTGTTCGTCAACTCGCCAACCATCTCGCCCATGCTCACCTCAGAGATTCTGTCCACTACAATCGTCCTTAGGGAAGTAAGCCACCATAAAGTTGCTTTCACTTCGGACAGCCCATAACCATAGGTTGTAAGGTCAAGAATGTCTGGCACACTGGTGGAGATTTTCCCGACGAAGTTCTCATCCGGGAGGCTGAAGTTTGGCAAACTCACAAGCACCGAGTCCACCTTGGACAGCCGGGCCGTGGCCATCTCTCCCAGACACCATTTGCGAGCCAAAATCCCAGGACTTCCAAGAATGACGAAAGTCTGCACCTGTGTACCTGGAAGTGGAAATCGAGGCAACCCCAAAAAGGAGAAAAACAATTTTGTGGAAAAGACGACTAGAGAACCATCGACAGCGTTCAACAACCAAGGCGGTTTGTACAAAAACCTTAAGGCGAATCGATCGTTGTAATGAAATCCGAAGTTGCTCACATAGGAGAAGAGCAGAGTAAGGTCCGTGAGACTGTCCAGATCGAGGAAGGTGGTGAAGTGGGCATGGCGGCCTCAAAACAGCACCGGCACACTAACCCCTACACCCTAAGCCCCAAAACCCTAAACCCTACGCCCTAAACCCTAAACCCTAAGCCCTAAACCCTGAACTCTAAACCCTAAACCCTAAACCCTAGGCCCTAAGCTCTAAACCCTAAACCCTAAGCCCTAAGCCCTAAACCCTAAGCCCTAAACCCGAGCACCTTGGATCTCCATCTTCAACCACCGTGCCAGGGCAGCCGTCGTCGCTTTGTGGTGGCAGAGAAAGAAGCGAAACGGCTTCTGTAGCCGGGCCTTTAGGGATTTAGGGGTTTAGGGGGTTTAGGGGGTTTGGGGTACTTTAGGGATTTGTTTTAGGGTTTAGGGATCTTAGGGTTTTAAGATTTTAGGCTTTAGGGATTTTGGGGTTTAGGCTTGGGGGCTTAAGGGTTAGGGGTTAGGGGCTTCTTGTTTAGAGCTTAGCGCTTCGGACAACCGCGCCTTCACATGTTGTGCCACAGAATACATTGCTGCCAGAGATATGACCACCACAAGGAGGGAGGCGACAACAGTGCAGAAGATCATTACCGACGTGTCAACTTCATCTTGGACGCTCAAACCACTTAGCAGCAGGACAATCAGCAGCACAGCATTCCCAAACATGTCTACCTGGCTGGCAAGGAGAGCCCGCCAGGGCTTGTAATAAGCCACCAGCACGGCGCTCATGGTCAATAGTGAGGCCATCATCAAAAGGCTTACTGACGTGGAGGAGAACATGGACGCGACCGGGAGGAGCATGTTTCGGAGCAAGAAGACCACTGTGAAGGCTTCATACCCTGGCTTGAATCTCATCGTTAAGAATGAGGTCGCCCGGACGAACACGATGTCCCCTTTGGCCACACGTCGGGGCAATTCTTTCTTAATCGTCCACGCGGAGAACGCCAAGAAGCCCGCTGGAATGAGAAGCATCACGCCAGCGACAGTGCACAAGTGCAAATGCTGCCCTGCGAAGTCGCAGAACACTTCATGTTCTGTTTGCATGGTGGCCAAACCATTTGGATGCACATTGCATCGAAATGGCTCTAGACATGTAAAGCACATCATAATGAAGAAGAGTAAGCAAAGCGAGCCCAAAGTCCCGAAAAGCCACGCATATTTGGGTGCTCGCTGCGTGCTGCTCTTTGTCCCCGCAAAAGCAAAGCCCATGTGTGATATGATGGGACCCAGCGCGAAGAACAAAGGGAGCAGAACGGTGCGAGTTACGAAAGTTGCTTCTGCTGACAAGCTGGTGATGCAGTTGACGCTCCGGAGAGAACTCAACAAAGCCTCAAGTGACATAAAGTTGAAGAACTCCAAGAAACTCAGGAAGGGATCTGACCAATTCACCGCCTGAATCTGGCTCATCACGGCAAACAGCTGCGCATAGGTGATCAAATGGCTCAAGCACAATGCTGCTGTCACAAGCTTACTTTGAATGCCATTGTTGCCATGGCCACCAACAACAAGCAGCACGTGCAAGGCTGCAGTGGAAGCAATGACCAGCAAGCCATATGCGACCAAACGGAAATAGTCGCCTCCTGAGCAAGGTATGCATTCTGCACCGTTGGGCTGCAAGTCGGCATTGCACTTGCTGCAACCAGGGCTGTTTGCATCCCTTCCATTTGCACAGGATCCCGGCGGCCCTCCAGGGCACCGTCCAGGAAGCCCAAAGCACTTGTAAATCAGTCCAGGGTTATGGGGTTTTGAATGAAAGCCAGGAAGGACTTCCAAAGTATCAGACCCCGGGCAGGAGGCCCCAACTCCACAGAGGAGGCACTGGCCATCCTGCAAAAAACGCCCAGGAGCACATCGGCAATAGGACTCTGACGTGGCCCCTTGGACTTCGATCCATCCTTCTGATACAAGAACTGTTGTTGTCCTCTCCGTGCCATTTCCACACATTACACAAGACCTCATTCCAAGACTGGCAGCGTAAGAGCCACGGGCACAAGGTGAGCACAATGCTTGACCCGGAGACCCTGCGAATGTGCCAGGGTCACAAGCTGCACACTCCGACTTTCCACTTGCGCTTTGGTGCATGCCGGGTTGGCACTGGACGCATCGGTAAGTATGCCCGATCTCATCCACAACGAATTGAGAGAATCTCCCTGCAGGACACAGGCTGCATCGTACGGCTTGCTCGCGAGAGTCCACCTGGATAAACTGGACATATTGTTCGTTAGAAGAAAACAGGACCCCAACAACCATACGTTCCATGCGCTATCTACCTACCTATCTATGTATCCATCTACCTATGTAGAATTACCAAAAAAGAGGGGAACCAAAGGCTCGGCAAAGGAAAAGCAAGTCATGAAACCCATGAGAGGTACATGTCCATCTTGTGCGTTGACCAAGCCGAATCCAAGGATGCAGTTTGTCTCGATGGGGAGCCACGGCTCCCAAACATCTCGATTCGAGTTGGCCCATGTGCAAATTTGCCTGCGAGCTTCTGCCTGGTTTGTGAAGAAGACATTTCCAAGCTGTTGGCCAGTTGGCAAATCGATGGAAGTGGCCAAACTCAAGATGTCAGATGGGTTGGTCGCGATTCCTTGGACCAATCCCCTCACTGTGGGAGCAAAGCGCGCCAGCAACGAGCTGCCGTATTTTTTCAGCGTGATGCCAACTGACGCCGTCCTGAAATTGCCCGCCTTGTGTTCAGCAGCATTGTGTGGTGGAAGAACAAGCCTGGATATCTGCAGATCTGTCAACTCCCCTTCATCTGGCTCCCACCAATAATGCAGGACGTCATATTTTCTGAGGAGTTCTTGGAATGTGCTGAAATTCGGCGGTCGTCCAAAAGCAAAGGGAAGATTGTGAGCAGTCGCCCATTGTGCCATCCTGTCCATGGTATTTATCACGGAAAGGACTGGAATGCACTCAGAGGCATTTCTTCGACATGCCGGGGACAACCAAAAATGCTCGTCAGGGCATTTGGCGACATATCCATCTGATGTCTCAATTACTCCATCAGTATCTCCGGTCCAGCGCACATAATTAGCCCAAAATATCGTATTTGTAAAGTCATCCCCATAGGTGGTGGAATCATTGCACGGAATAAAATACTTGAAATCAAGGTCAGCCAAGCTAGTAAAAAATCGCTGCGGCCGATTGATGCTTGTGTTGTAGTTCCTGTAGTATTCGAGGGGCAGGGCTGCTTCCGAGAATGCTGCATCTCGAATCGAGCCTTTAAAATAGATACCCCAAGTGAAGATGTAGCCCATCCCACCCATATCCTCCGGAACTCGCTCAGGATGTGAGGCTCGGAAAGACTCCAGCGATACGGCATCTCCAGGGAAGGCATCTACAACGATATCAACCGCTTCGGCTGTTTCGTTGCACTCTGTGGATGCACAGCCCGCAAGTCGGAGTATAAGATCTTGAAAGGAAGGGAATCCCAAGGATTCAACAGGTGCGACATGATACCCGAGCTTTTCTGAGATGATCAAATCTGTCAGCGCACTCACTTGGATGGCCAGATTCCAACCAAAGGACCCAATTCGAATTGGGACTGGCTCCCCCACGGCATTTTCAATGTATCGCCGGCTGGAGGACGGAATCGAGTCCGGAAAGCAGAGTGTTTCTGCCGAGAGGACACTGATGCCCGCCAAGCAAGCAAAAACCGGCAAAAAAATCATCTATCTCCAAGACTAGGCCTAAGCCCTTGAGCCTCACGGCTTCAATTTAATCTGCGGCTTTACTGCAGTCACCGCATGTCCCAACCACCTCCAGCCATCTCTTTACTATCTGAAACACAGAGAACTGGACATGGACACGAGGGGCGTATCTCAAGCTAGACGTACTTGCTGAAAATCCAGCATGATCTTGCAACGCTGCAATATGTGGGGATTGCTTTCTGCAGCCGGACTTTGGTGCGTCGCTGAGAATGCTGCATTCAGAGCGCAGGATCGCAAAGGCAAGCCCGTGCTCCTGCGCATGATTGCTTCCTGAATTCCTTCGCTGAAACCCGAACCTTGCTCACTTCTTCAGCTTTTGCTCCGGCAGGTCAAGCAGTTGTTTAAGCAGTTGTTTGATGGCCCGTCTTCCCGAAGGCGACATGCAAATGGGGGCCGCTGAGCTATCCTAGCTATGCCCGTTTTGCGTGCTGCGACTGCTCTGCTGGCTGCTGTGAGTAACTTGGCTTCGAGATTTACAGAAACACCAAAGCTGTCAAACGAGTCTGGATTCACGCTGCAGCTTCGTGCAGCAGCCACTTATGACATTTTGAAAACCCTAAATCCTCATAGCAGCTCAATCGCTGTAGGGCAGAAGATCGAGTTTGTTCGAGTCGGGATCCATGCCTCTCAATAAGATCCCTTTTAAGAGAGCCATAAGTAGGGTTAAAAAGGGTTCCCTTTGAGGGGTCTCCCTAATACTACCTAGGAAAGGTGGTTCTGGGAAATTCCCCGCCTCGACTCGTAACCCGCTTGGGCTGCCCTCGTTGACTTTGGACGTTTTCGCCATGGGACCTCCTTCACATACCGGTGCCTGTGTGATTCCACGCCGCCAGTGAAGGCCGCTCGAGCTTCAGAAGAGAAGGAACAAGAATATGATTAATATAATAGTTTGCAAGCTTTGTACACAGTGCACCG